TTATGTTTTATGAATATTCCTGATGATGGGCTATTAGACCGAAACGTCCGACGTTAACATTAAACATTAAAACAGCATAATCGCATATTAGAATTTTTGTTTGTATTTTCAGTATATTTTTTTCACACACACACACACACACACACACACACACACACACACACACACACACACACACACACACACACATATATATATATATATATATATATATATATATATATAATTTAAATTTAATCCTTTACAGAATTTTTTTAAAATTAGTATAAGTAAGGTATAATTTAAAATATAAACATAGTATTTGAAAATTTATTCATACCATACTGATATAATGAGATTCGTTATATTTAAATGAAATTAATATTTTAAAAATTTACTTATATTTTTTTTACTATAACTTTTACTGCACAGTTAAAGATGTAGTATTGAATGGATTAATATAACATTTTTTTTATAAAAGTTTTAATTTTGAATTCTTACACCCATTCTATAATAATTTCAAGCTCCTCTCTAAAATGTTTCATAGACATTTTTTTGTTCATTCTTCTTCCTTGCACAGGTGTTGATAGGTTATATTTATGTCAGTGTCTATTTTTAAACGGTCGCGTTTATCTGGACCCGGCTCCACCACAACCACGTTAGGTCCCTTAACCCCCTTTATCTATATAACTCACTCCTCTGTTATAGGCTAATTCTTACTCCTTCTCCTTTTATAATATCCTTTTTTGTACCTTCTTTCCTTCCTTTGCCTTTCAAATTTCCTATGAAGAAACGTTATATTCATTTTAGTAAATGTATTTGCATTGATAAGCCCAGGGAAAAACTACTACTGATTCGCTGATTTCTTCAAGGAATCTTTTGCTATATCCGTTTTGATGGAACTTCTGACCAGATAAGGTAAGAAATTAGTAGTATACAATATAAGCGTTAGAATTTCTCATCGCTTTGCTGCGTCTTATTTGCAACACGAGTACGGTTTTTGTTATACAGTAAAATCACAATTTTTACTTCTTTGCGCAAAAAAACAGAGAAACAAAAAAAATGATTTTTATTCCGATGTCCATTTCTGACAAGTCAGTTGCCCAATGGAACTTAGTACCATAATAGATTTTTTCTAGTTTACTGCAAATACTAATACATGGATTAGTTTTAACAAATAACTTGAAAGAATTCTGCCTGAATTTCTGGAATGACAGTTATTGTTATTTAGACTATTCACATTTGTACTAATGCTCACATCTTTGTTGTTGTTATCACGTTTCAGCCGTTGTGCTCTCTGGCCTTCTCCGAGCTTCGTAACGTTAATAAATAAAGAAAAAATCAAGCGACAAAAAGCATTCAGCAGTAGTGTCACCAGCTGTCAAGAAGCAAGATCATCCTGTTTAGGGTTCAAAGATCGAAGTTTGGAATTCTTCTACTGGACAATATTCGTACTGTGAATCTGGCGGTAAATATCCATGAGTTCAATCAGTGGGTCATGGGTGGAAACATGACGAAAAAATGGACAATGGTTGAAGGACAATCCACGGCCTTAGGTTTCATTTCGAAGGAATTTCAGGGGACACATTTTCTAAATGAGGAAGATATTAGTTCGTTCACACAGTTTTAAATAAGGACTTATAAATAGTCCATGAACTTTGAGTTATAGTTATCTATCAATCTTTAATCCCTTGGAAAAAATCAAAAATCGACAACAGAAATCATACTTAGTTACTAAATTCCGTAGTGACTTTGAATGAAACATGAATCCTCAGTTCAAAATGAATATAAATTTAAATTCTTGCAATAAAGCTATTTTATGTGATGATATGGTAACGTTAGAGTTACTTCTAAAATCACTCATTGTAAATTATTTATCTTTTTAATAATTTCGTTAGTATTACGTAAGGAGTTACAGGGAGTGAAAGTGAGAGAAAAGACTGAGTATAAGGAGAATAGACGGAAGGACAAAAATGAACGGGATTCAGGAAGATAAATGATGGCTATGGACGTTTCATTTCAATTTTTGATGTTTGTAGTTATCAAGGAAGCAAGTAAATGAAAGGGAGTTCTACAGGTGGGAAGTGAGAGAAACGAAACAGTTGCATTAGAAGTGGCGATTGCATTTAGTTAATTCAACAGTAATTGAGTGGAACCTAGGTTTCAATCTAGCAGCACCCATAAATAATTGTAGTCGAAGCACCGGAGGAAAATGCTCATCAGAGCAGTTACCATGAAAATAGTTGTAGAGAGACAAAGAGAAGCTACGCCGCGCCGGCGAGAATTTGACCGAAGTCCAGATTCTATGTCAGGATCTACTACAATACAGATCCTTCTTTTGATCTTGACAGAAACTTGGGGCAACAGCCTAGATATGCCAACAGTATTAAAAAAAAAAAAGGAGGAATAGAAAATATGCAAATGTCCATTGTTTCCTGTTTAAGATTGGGTTTCCAGTTTTTTCTGAAGTATTTTCATTCTCTTTCACTCCTAGTAGCCAAAAACGTCTTAGTAACATTATCAATTGGCTTAGGGTGATTTTAAAAGTTGTGATTATTTAAGCACTCGGTTCTGTCTTGGCAAATTCACTCGTCGTAGTTGTTTGATGTGAAGGATCATCAAAGTCTTGGGCGTACCATAACTATCTACACTCAGTAATTTACCAATTTCAGACAGCAAAACTGCTACCTCTATAATCAACCTTGACGAGGTTCAATTTATTTGTAATAATCGAAAAAGGTATTGCCCTTTATTAAAAGCAAACGGTTGAAAAAACAAAGAACGGAGAAACATATCAATACTTACTCAGTTAATCTTGATTTACCGATCAACTGTCTTTCAAAACAGTGTTTCTATAAACAAAGGCGATTAGGAAAAATAGTTTTAATCACGAAAACTTAGCATTGTTTTCATTTCAGCGAAAAAGTTAATATCATTGTTCTTTTTTCGTCGTATTAGTGGATTGAAAGATTAAGATTAATCGTTTAAGATTTTTACACAATAGTAAAATGTTTACCCTCCTGCTCCAATATCTAATCGTATATATATATATATATATATATATATATATATATATATATATATATA